GAGGACAGGAGAAGAAAGAGGGAGAGAGGAGGAAGAGGGGGAAGTGAGGAGGGGGAGGAGGAGGGGGAAGTGAGGAGGAAGGGGAAGTGAGGAGGAGGGGGAAGTGAGGACAGGAGAAGAAAGAGGGAGAGAGGAGGAAGAGGGGGAAGTGAGGAGGGGGAGGAGGAGGGGGAAGTGAGGAGGAAGGGGAAGTGAGGAGGAGGGGGAAGTGAGGACAGGAGAAGAAAGAGGGAGAGAGGAGGAGGAGGGGGAAGTGAGGATAGGGAGGAGGAAGAGGAGAGGAGGGAGGAAGAGGGATGTAAGGAGGGGAGGAGAGAAAGAAATGGGGAGGAGGGACAAGGGGAGGGGGAAGTGAGAATGGAGAGGAGGGAAGGAGAGAGAGAGGGGAGAGAGAAGAGAGATGAGAAGGGGGAAGAGGGGGCAGAGAAGGGAGGAGAGGAGGAGGAGGAGAGGAGAAGGTGGGAGGGGAGGGAGAGTAGGCCACAGCAGTGGGAGTGACAGAAGACACCTCTGGAGGGTGCTGGGCAGTAAATTAGCCGGGACTGAGAAAGGAGGCCGTGCCCATGTCCCCCAGGCTGGCTGACACACAGACAAAGCCACTGCAGTTATAGGTCACAGACATCTCCCACGGATGCCCTGCAGCTGGGAAGCGGCAGAGGAGCCTCTTTGAGAGACCGGCTGTTTCTCTCCCTGTGAGATCTTGTTCTCTAAAATGCAGGCCCTCTCAGACCTCTGCTGTCTGCCGCTGCATCAGACACATGTGCCAGCCCTCTCTTACCGGGGCATTCTCAGTCCTGGTGCCAGATGCGGCCTCAGTTCACGGCCCAGGCACAGCACAGCGCCCGGGGCTTCCTGAGCACAAGCCCTTTGTCTCACCTCGTGGCTCCTCAGGAAACAGGCCCAGGTCCACTCTGCACCGAGCTGGCCCTTACACACAGGCTGGCCTGCCCTCCGAGGCTCTGCTGTATCTATGTCCCACCTTCCCCAAACCTCGCCCGCGTGGCCCGGGCTCGGGCGTGGCCTCCTCCACGGCACGCAGCAGCGCTATTCCCCATGCTGGGCGGGACTGGCGAGCTGTGGGCCATCCTGACAAGCACTGGCACATGCCACTCGGAACTACATGATACTACACGGGTTGCCCGGCTTCCGGCCAGCTCTCCCTGAACCAGTGGCACCCACTTCCCCAAGGGTGACCCTCGGAGGGAAGCAAACACCAGTGGTCGGTCAGGGCACCTCCTGCCCCCACCGGAGGGGCAGTGAGAAGCGCCGGGCTTACCTGGCTGAGGTTGAGCGGCTGCTGCTGCTGGAAATGTGGCCCCGGCCGCTGCTGCCGGAAGGCGACGGCTCCCGACGAGCTCCCTGAAGAGTGGCCGCTGGTGGAGGTCACGTTGCTGGAGGACTTGGACTTGTAGGAGGACGAGTGGTGACTGGTGTTGACTGTGTCGGGAGGAGAAACAGGTCACAGGTCAGTCCCGGGTCCTCGGCTGCCCCTCTCGGGCCAACAGGGGTCTTCCAGGAAGGGACTGTTTCCGATCTGGCCAATCATAAACCAGTCTCACTGCCCCGGGCCCGGGTGAGACCGGCCCAGGTCCCAGGAGTTGTGGCTCTGGCCCCACCTCGGACCTAGTTGCTGAATTTTCCCTGAGCCTCGCATCCCTCCAACACAGTGGTTCTCAACCTGTGGGCCGCGACCCCTTTGGGGGTCAAATGACCCTTTCACAGGGGTCGCCTAAGACCATCGGAAAACACATATATAATTACATATTGTTTTTGTGGTTAATCACTATGCTTTAATTATGTTCAATTTGTAACAGTGACATTGGGGGTCACCACAACATGAGGAACTGTATTAAAGGGTCGCGGCATTAGGAAGATTGAGAACCGCTGCTCCAACGTGTTCTCACAGAATTCGCCCTGTTGCTTTCCAAAGAACCTAACTAGCCGAGAGACCGGAGAGGCTGGGAGAGAAACCCCGTGGCTGAGAACACAGGAGGGACGACGAGCTGTGGGAGAGGGACTGTCACCCACACAGCCTGCGTCCTGGGTCAGCGGCTGGGGCTCCAGGGGGTGGCTGCCGCCAGCGTGCGCCTTGGCAGGGGTGGGCCAGCTGGGCCCCAGGAAGCCGAGGAAGGCTGCTTTCCTGGCTTCCCCGGCCCAGGAGGTTCTGCAGCCAAGGGCACTGAGTACTGAGAACGAGGGCAGGCACCAGGATGAGGCCCTGCCTGCCTCTCGCCTGCGACTGGGAAGACTGCACAGCAGGTCCTCAGGGGAACAGGAGTCTTTATAAGAGACGACACCACGGGGCTTCTGGAGGCAGCGGCACTGGTTGCTTTAGAACCAGCAGCTCACCGAGAAGGACCTTCCATTTTTCTCATGTTTGTTGGACATATTCTTGAGATTCTCAGCTATTCAGGCAACCATTTCTGTTTGTCAGACATGACACGTCCTTGGGGAATGCAGTGGGGAGTGCTCAGGCCGCACTGCCACATGCCGCGCCGGGGCTGCCGATGGACACGCTAGTGTAGCTCCACAGGCGTCACGCGGGCCCGCAGAGCTGGCCTCTGGGGGCAGGACCAGGGCCCTCGGCTTCCTCACCTGTCTGTGCGAGGGGGCTGCACTGGGTGGTCTTAAAGTTTCAGTAACTTTCGCCACCACGTCCCCTCCCAGAGCGGTGCCAGCACCCCCCGGCCCGACAAAGCTCAGAGCTGGAATATTCAACCTGGACATCCGGCCGCCCACCTAGGCACCATCCACCTTGTGTTAAAAGGCCTAGGGAGCCCTAGCTGGTTCTGCTCCGTGGTTAGGCATCGGCCTGTAGAATGAAGGGTCCCGGGTTTGATTCCCTTCAAGGGCATGCACTGCGGTTGCAGGCTCCATCCCCAACCTCAGTCAGGGTGTGTGCGGGGGGCAGCCAGACAATGCCACTTGAGAAAAAATCAATTCCTACATAATCTGCATAAGGTCTATCTTGAGCCAACTCTTAGACACATTATGTTTTTTTGTTGTTGTTAATCCTCACCAGAGGATATTTTCCCATTGATCCTTAGAGAGAGTAGAAGGCAGGGAGGGAGAAGGGGAGGGAAGGAGAGGAACAGAGAGACAGAGAAACACTGATTGGTTGCCTCTCAAACGTACCCCAACTGGGGCCGGGGATCAACCCCAACACCCAGGTACATGTCCTTGACCAGGAATTGAGCTGCAACCCTTCAGGGCACAGGCCAATGTTCTAACCACTGAGCACACTGGCCAGGGCCATTATCACGTGTTTTTTTTAACTACTTCTTTTTTATTTTTTAAAAAATATATTTTTATTGATTTCAGAGCGGAAGGGAAGGGAGAGAGGGATAGAAAAATCAATGATGAGAGAGAATCATCGATCGGCTGCCTCCTGCATACCCGATACCAGGGATAGAGCCTGCAACCCAGGTATGTGCTGTGACCGGGAATCGAACCGTGACCTCCTGGTTCATAGGTCAACACTCAACCACTGAGCCACGCCAGCTGGGCTATCACGTACATTTAAGAATCATTACTGTTACAGAATCCCCAGAGCTGTCTGGGAACACAAGTGCCCTTGATTTACAAACCCCAGCGTCTCACCCTGTAGGTCTACAGCCCCCAATCTCCTATCCCTGGGGTCAGTTTTCAAATTCAAAATTTCCGACTGTAGGAAGGTAATTTGGTACATAGTCAATATATTAGGTCAGCCCCAGAGGAGCCTCGACACCTCCCTCCCACCAAACACATGAATATTTCTGCCACAAAACACAGGGACACTTCCCAAAGCGGCACGTATTCTACTCTGACACAAATGAACAGCCTCTAGCTGGGCCAGACCAGGTTTTTACTGCCAACTGAGTTTGCTGTGAGCTTAAAATCTGGTTTTTTGGATTTTGGATTGCTGACGAGGGAGAACTATTTCCTTCCCTGCTGGCTCCATGAAAGGCCAATCTTTCTTCAGGATTTCAACTCCAATCCCAAGCACGTGTGTTAATTAAGCAGGAGCGCCCTCACCAAGCCGCACGCATTAGGCTGCAAACTTTAACCCAGGATGTGCAGGGCTTCCTACGGACTTGGGGGCGGGGGGGCAAGTAAAGAGTTAAGGAGCCAACTTCCAGATTCTCAACTTTGAAGTGTTTCTCTTCCTAAAGGTCTTCCCAGCACTGGGTTCCTTTTCCCAGGTTCTCTCACACGTCTCCCATTTTATTATTTTTTAAAAATATATATTTTTATTGATTTCAGAGAGGAAGGGAGAGGGAGAGAGAAACATCAATGATGAGAATTATTGATCAGCTGCCTCCTGCATGCCCCCTACTGGGGACTGAGCCGCAACCTGACCGGAATCGATCCATGACTTCCTGGTTCACAGGTCGATGCTCAACCACTGAGCCACACCGGCTGGGCACACTTCTCCCATTTTACAGGAGAAAGACTCCCTCACTCTCCTGGATGTTAGCATGGTGCACTGGCTCTCGTATGAGAAACCTTAGGGGCGCCCAAACGGGATAATTCTGGAATGGAGAGCTCTTGGGGGACAGTTCCTGAGAGCAAAGCCAAACAAACATGGCAGCTGTCCGCGTTTATTTTATTCAGGCTTAAAATCTGCTTTTCAGAGCTTTCTCTCTGTCAACTCCTTACTCCACCCGTCTACTCCCGAGATGAAACCCAGCCACGCGATGGCGGTCCAGGGAAGAGTTTCCTACAGAGGTGAAGGCAGCTTGGCCGCCTGGGGTGACAGCCGGGCAGCATCTCCATGGATTAAATGAGTCCAAGCTGCAGCCTCGAGGTGTTGACAAAGGCATTTAAAGTACTTAAGTAACGATCAACGCACAACACGACAGAAATAACACCCGTGGCAAATACTTAAACTGGTGATGTGTGATGGATACAGTTGTAAATCATCATCTGACGGCGTCTGAGCAGCAAAGTATGAGGACGCTGCCTCCTGGGTGAGCTGTTTGCCTATAGGTTCCTGTGGTCATGGCCAGAGGGTGCTGCTACCGCCCTGGTCCTCACTGAAATACTCACCTGGGTACTAATTACAGAATTAAAAAATGAAGACGCTGCTTATATGTGGTGTTTAGGGGAATCCTTTGGTGACTTGAACAGGAAGAGGACTTGGGGGGAGAGAAGTCCTCCTGTCCCCCACCACGTACAGAATGACCTATGCTCTGGGCTGGACAAGTCCCCAAATACCCCATCCTAAATTCCACTCTTCAGCCTCAGGCGCAGCACCTGGATCTCCCAGGCCTCGTGGGCCGTACAGCTGCCAACCACTCAGGAAGGTTCAAGGTGACGCAGACGGGATGAATGAGTAACAGCTGATGGACAACAGCTCCTCACATCTAAACAAAAGCTTTCTGGCATTTCCTGTCCTTTTCCTTTTCAATGGTGCCACCGTGAGAGCGCTGACTGGCTTGGACGGGCTGGTGATAGTTTGGGGCAGAAAAGCGAGTGCGTGTGTTTATTCCTCAAATTCTCCTCCTGACGAGTCTGAGCCAGGGAGACACTGAATAGATGCTCCTGAATCTGGGGTCAGGCACTAACTGCATCTAGGAGGTTAAGATCTCAGCTTTTCTTCTCAGATGGAGGGAATACTTTTGTTGTTGTTAATCCTGAGGATATTTATCAATTTAAAAAAAATACTTTTATAGATTTCAGAGAGGAAGGAAGAAGGAGAGAGATAGAAACATCATCAATAATGAGAGAGAAGTATTGATCAGCTGCCTCCTGCATGCCCCACACTGGGTGGGGATCAAGCCTGCAACCCAGATCTGTGTCCTGACTGGGAATCAAACCGGGATTTCCTGGTTCATTGGTTGATGCTCAAGCAGAGCCACACCAGCCGGGCTTTACACTGATTTTTAGAGAGAAAGAAAGGTAGGGGGAGAGACAGAGAGAGGAACATTGATATGAGAGAGAGACATTGATTGGTTGCCTCCTGCATGCACCTTGACCAGGGCCGGGGATTGAGCTTACAACCGAGGTACGTGCCCTTGACCGGAATCGAACCTGGAACCCTTCAGTCTGAGGGCCAATGTTCCATCCACCGAGTCAAACCAGCTGGGGCTGGAGGGAATACTTTTAATTAAGCAATGTGTGAGGGACGCACACCTCGCCATGCCCTTTGAGACGTGGGAAGGTGTTTCACCATCGCCGAGCAAGGCTGGGAGGTTCTGCCCATAGAGCCCACCCCAGGGAGCTTGCCCATAGAGCCCACCCCAGGGAGGTGAATCCTGGGATTCATTCCAGTATAGTGCCCTGAAGGTGGGAGTGAAGCCAGAACGTGGTCAGGGCCTCCCCACACCAGGTGTCCATCCAGACCAGCAGACAAGGAACTGGGTGGCTCCTGTTTGTGATTTATTAACCAAACCAGAGGGAGAGCCGCTGTAAAGGCAGCAAGGTACTAATTACAGAATTAAAAAATGAAAACGCCGCTCATACAACGTGATGTCTGGCAGAATCCTCCCTTAGTGACTGGAGCAAAATCTGCAGTAACCCGGCCCTTGTCAGCTCTCACGCAACAAAACCGCTAGCAGCAGAGCGCAAGGCCGTCTCCAGCGAGGTCACCTGCCCGGACCCCGAGTTACCTGGCACCAGGCTGTCACATTCCACCAGCACGTCGCTGGCCTGGGTCTTCAGGGGGGGCACGATGATGGTCCGGGGGTTCCCAGTGCAGTGGCTCTCCAGGCTCCCCTTGGTGTCGAAGGCGTTGGTGTTGTGCCCGGTGCGGTGCTGCACGGAGTAGGGGCTGGTGTTGCTGGAGGAGTCGGAGTACGGAGAGTCGTGGACCGTGACACAGCTGATGACGTTTTTCCTCTGCTTGGAGACAGTGCTGGAAAGGGACAGGGCAAATCAGAACCGGGAGGTGAGACACCAGCCAGCAGGTCAGGCCGGCGGCCATGTGAAGAGCCCCCCTTGGTGCCGGGGCAGCGGATGGGACTCCTGCTCCATGGCCCTCGCGGGGAGGTAGGGCACACGAGTGTCACCTGTCACATGGAGACCTGAGAGAGGGCCGGAGCTGGGCCCACGGGCGCTTCTGGAAGCTGCGAGTGAGAAGCTTCGAGTGGGCCTGGGCTCTCCCTGGCGCGGCAACACCCCTGAGCCACCAGAAAAGGACGTCTGAGCAAGCAAAGCCCAGAACCCCAGGCCACCCAAGGCCCGTGTGGGAGAACGCCCCCGCCGGGAAGGGAGAGCACAGCGAGGCTCGGGGCCTGGAGATGCCCCGAGTGAACTTAGGCAGGAGGGACGGGAACACCCAGGAGCAGCCAGGACGCAGAGACGGATGGGAGAAAGGGAGGCTCCGGGGGCTGATCCCACACACGGCTCAGACGTGCTGAGAAAGCCATTGGAGCTGACTTCACATCATCGGCAACCTCTGCTGGGAGAGTGCTGCGGGGATGGCTGTGGTGCCCGCACCCAGGACCTCTGAGAGTCCCCTTCTCGGGGAACCCGGCCCTCGGGTCGGGGAAGGGACAGCACTGTGTCCGGGTGAGGTCAGAGGGGCTCCACCGGGGGGATGCCTAGTGGGGAGCTGCTCTGGACCCTGCTCTTCATCCTGAAACTCAACACGCCGACAGGAGGAACTGGCAATGGATGGCTCTCGGCCAGCACTTTTTCTGAGATATTTATGTTTGTGTGGTTACTCTGGGAACCAGTTCTTTCTGCCTCCAAACTCAGTGAGAGGCTGGTGGGATGATGCATATAAAATTTGTTGTTTATTGTGAAGATTTCAAAAATGGGTTTTCATCTATTTTTATATATTGATCATCTATTTTTGAGAAATATCCGTTGCCTAAGTAAGATGGTTAGTTTCCAACGGATTTGCTAAGAGAAGCTCGTATTTATAGAGGCCTGATGGGGACAGACAATCACGGACGTCTTGGCCAAGGTCAAAGGCCAGCCACAGGCCAGCCCCTTTCCAAGGTCGCTCTCTGCCTCCTAAGGGCAGCAGAGAAGTGGGCCAACTCAGGAGCCCCAGGCAGCCCGGCAGAAGGGACGGGCTGGGCAGTGACTGCGTGTGACCTGCGTGGCCCCTGCTCTGGACACTATGACCTCTGGGCCCGATAGTTCCTCTAGGGGCTGCACACTGTCCTGGTTCAGGGAAGCAGGCTCCCTCCCCAGCTGTGTCCAGGTGAGCACAGGGCCCTGCAGCCAGATGTCTAACACCAGCACTTGCTGGGGGGGGGGGGGGGGGGGGGGGCGGTGTGTGGCCTCAGGCAGCTTTTCAACCTCTGAGTGCTTTAGTCTCCTTATCAGTAAAACGTGGCTAACTAGTAACAGTAGGTATATTATAGGCTTATTTGGAGAATTAAGTGAGGAAATACAAGGAAAATGCTTCGAATAGGATACGGAACAAAGCACGTATTCTATAAAAGTTAGCTGCTATTAATTATGAGCTGTGTTACCTCATTTAACATGTGAAAACAGGTTTGCAAAAAACATATCTAGGCACAGTGAATTTCTACCAAGGCGCAGACTCACTGGATATGAAGGAAATTAAAATTCATCAGTAAGGTATCTAGAAGGTCTATGCTAGGTGCTATAGGGAATTCCTGTACACAAACATACAATACATGTATGTGTGCCCAAGAGATTAAAACAGCGCAGGACTGTACCAAAGCACGGCAGCGGGACTGTACCAAAGCATGGCAAGGTAAAGGGTAGAAATTTTAAAGTAACCAGTTGAAGAGCAGAGTGGATGTCACAAAGCCTCCCATCATGAACTGTGAAATGGGTGGTACTGACGATAACCATCAAGAACTCAAGAGAAGGTGAGGAATGAACATGCATTTATAGCTCTTCACATTAATTTTGATAAAATAGATACATTTTAATTAATAAAGATCTACCCCTCCCACTTATAACAGTTTAAATGCAAAAAAATCCATATGCTTGTTCCTCAAAAAATTAAAGAGTGACCATGTGACCAGCAATTCCACTCTCAGGCACGTACACAAAGGAACCCAAAGAAATACTTGAATGCCAATGTTCATAGTAGCATTATTCCTAATGGCTGAGAGGAGAAAATATATAATCTAAAGGTGAAAATAACCCGTGCCCATCAAAAGATGAGTAAACAAAATGTGGTATTGTAACGGAATACTGTTCAGCCATAAAAGTGAATAAAGTTCTGATACATGCTACAGTATGGATTAACCTTGAAATATTGTGCTAAGTGGAATGAGCCAGACATAGAAGGACAGATGCTGTATTATTCCACTTACATGAGTACCTAGAATAAGCAAATTCATAGACAATAGAGGTGACCAGGGGCTGGGAGAGGGAGGAACAGGAGTTACCGCTTAATGGGTACAGAGTCTGCCTGGGGTCATGGAAAAGTTCTGGAAATAGACAGTGGTTGTGGCTGCACACACTGTGAACGTATTTAATGTCACTGAAGTGTATGCTTAAACATAAACGGCAAATTTTTATCACAATTAAAAAAATTAATGTAAAATTCCAAAACCACTTTGAGTGATTTGTATGGCATGCGAACTATATCTCCATTTAAAAAAAAGTCTACATGCTTATTCAGAAACAAAAAGGGGTGGGTGTGGCACTGAGATCTGGCCCAAGAACCAGAAAGTGGGGCAGCAGGAAAGATCCCTGAACCTCTGAAGTCGAGAGCAGGAGTCATGAGCAACGGACATCGTGGGAAGCTGTGGCATCAGGAGGTGGGAGCCCGGGAGGAGGGCGAGCTGCTTCAAAAAGACCAGGACCAGGGAGACCTGTACTGGTTTTCTGTGGTGGGTGGGGCTGGGCAAAGGGAAACCCACCGTCTGTGGGGTGTCTGTTGTGTAGAAATATGCTATTAAAGGGAACCCCACCCCACCCGGCACCGAATCAAGGTGCTCCCAGCTCCTGGGGGATGCTGGGAGGCGGCGCTGCCCTGCCTTTGCTCTCAGCTCCATCAGAGCCAGTTCTGTGTGATTAAAACGAACACAACGCAGACGGGTTCTGCTGAAAGTGTGTCTGGGGTGGTGGCCCCACATGAAGACAGGGCTGGCTCCCAGCTGTGTCCCGAGAGTGGTGTCTAGTTCCGGCTCTGCTGCCCACTGACTGGTGTGACCTTGGACAGTGGCCTGGATGTTGGTGTGACCTTGGACATATTTCAAAGTCTTCACTCAAATTTGGAAATTGTGGAGAAGTTTCAGCTCAATATGAGTAAGAATTTTCTGACAACTGAACTGTCTGAACATACACTTCATGCATCAGTAAGCGTGCTGTCACTCGGGATGGCGTTCTGCAAGTCTAGAACACCTGGCAGCTTGGTCCAGGTGACCTGTGAGAAGCTACGGCCATGTCCTCGTGGAAACTCAACAGGTGTGAGCCTTCCCACCAGAGAGGCCGAAGAATCTGGCTGTCCGTGTCTCGATGTCTATCCAGAAGTGTGGGATAAAGCCTCTCTAAGCTTCATGGGTCCCCTCCCTTTTACGGGAGCTGGGAGGCCCCTCTGCCTAATGAGCAAATAAGTGCAACATAGTCTAAGGGTAATTCCTTATTTTCCTGAATCTACATGAGACAGGTTTGGAAGAGGTGAATTAATTTAATACTTTTTCATTTTATTTTTTGTTAGTCCCCACTTGAGGATATTTTTTTCATTGCTTCTCAGAGAGAGTGAAAGGAAGGGAGGGGAAGAAAGAGAGAGAGAGAGAGAGAGAGAGAGAGAGACAGACAGACAGACATTGATGTGAGACAGACACATCAACTGGTTGCCTTCAGCTTCCGCCCCAACTGGAGGATGGGGGTAAGGAGTGAACCCACAACCCAGGTATGTGCCCTTGACCGGGAATCGAACCTACAACCCTTTGGTGCACAGCTGTTGCTCTAACCACTTAGCAACACCAGTCAGTCCTGATAGCTGTTTTTAATCTCTCCTATTGTTAGAAATATCTGTGCTCTACCTGATTATACTATGCAGATTAGAGAACAAATGGGAAGCTACTAAATGAGTCATCTTAAAAATGAGCATGCATTATTACTATGGATTCTTTAGGCGTGTATGCACTGATTCTACTGGGATTCATTCCAGTATAGTGTCTAATTATTACTGATTGCTAATCAATCCCATTATGAATTGGTTAATGGAAGAGAGAAAGAGGGAGAGAGGGAGGGAAGGAGACAGAGTAGAATGAAAAATATTTGCTTAATGGCCTTAATAGAACATCATTTCTGATAAAAGAACAAAGCCACCAGAGTTCACAATTGCATTGTGTTGTCATGGCAATAGATGATTTTCATCATTTTAAAATGATGAAAAGAAATAAGGAGATAAGCAGTAAAGAAACCAGCCCCAGCGGAGAAAACACTGCTGCAAGGTCAGATACAAAACTGTGACCCCTGCCTGCAGGGCCCTGCCTGGAATGCATTTCTGATTTCTATTTGCCAGTCCCGGTCAATTCCATCCTTCAAGACCAGGGTCAAAACTCATCTCCACCAATAAACCTTCCATGACTACATCACTCCTCTGACTCCACAGTCAATGCTACATATGAAAAACACTCCTTTTCTATCATGCTGACACTGATTACAAAGTCTAGGTAACATTTACTGGGGGCACGACTGTTCAAAGTGCTTTCCGTGTGTTGTCTCCTCTAACACTCACAGCGAGGAAGAATATTCCAACTCTAGTTTTAAGAACCACGAACTTCAGATGTGGAGAGCTTAGGTCACTTGCTTGTTCAAGGTCACATGGCTAGTTAGGGACAGAGTCAGATTTGAACCAAGAGCCAGCATTCTCTCTGTTTTTTGGTGACAGAGCATGGTCTTAACTTATTTTTTAAGTTTTATTGTGATAAGAATATTTAACACGAGACATACCCTCCTAATAAAATTTAAGTATTGTTGACTATTGTGCAATGTTGTGCAGATCTCTAGAATGGATTCATCTTGCTCAGATACAACTTATGCCCATTGATAACTAAGTCCCCATTTCCCTACCGACAGTCCCTGGCCATCAAGAGTTGACTCCTTGATTCTATGAATTTGACTATTTTTATGTGTCCAGAGTCTGTGTCAACTCAAATCTCATTCTTCAGAAATGACATTCTAGTCTCGTCAATGTCAGGGTTTTAAATGGCTTCTGCTTTTTCCCAGTTGGGGTGAAGGGCTAGTGAGGCTGTTGGGCCCGTCTTGTGCCGAAGGCTATAAATGTGTGGCCAGGCTGCTCCAAGTCGGGCGCCAGGCTGGGGCCGGGAAGAGCCTTTCTCTTTGTAAAGGAACCACCTGAGCCCCTCAGGCTGGGGGCTGAGGGGCATGAGGCTCTGGGGAGAATGGAGTACTGACTCAACTCAGGGCTCCATCAGAAAGGAAACTGAGGCCAGTCCTGGAGTAGGCAGGTGGGGAGTGAAGCACAGTGCCTGGCACCCCTGACACCAAGGCCCCTCTGGGCCCTGGGGTGATGCTAGGACTGGAAGTGCTCCGTTACATTCCTTGAGACACACTGAACAGCAGGCTGAGCCATTAAACAGAAAAGAGCACACTCAGACATACACCAGCCCTCCCATGAAACAGCAAAGCACTGAGAACTATAGCGAGAATGCTTCAATCACCCTATCTGTACATTTCACAATGATTTCAAGTGTGGGAATTTATTATCTGATCAAAACGATTTGTGATGACTAATTAGTGGCATTATATCCAATCAGAAATTAATAATTCAGGCCTATAGGTGGATGTTAAGCTTCGTATCCAGCTGTGGGATGCGTGCTGACTGGCAGTGCTGGGCTTGGGAGCAGGCCTCTCTTCCCTGGCCCTCAGTCCTCATGTGAGGAGCCAACAGGTTGGGGTCATGAAGCTTGGGATCTATATGATCCTGAGGCCAGTGGGGTGCAGAGAGCCAGGGGACCGACTGTGCCAGAGGGGCAGGAAAAGAGGCTCTGGCACCAGGGCTAATAGTCGTGCAAGTACTGTATTAAATATTTCTTCCCTCTTCCTGGGAGCGCATGGAGAGTGAAATGAGTTCTCACTACTTGGAATAAACAGCAATGCTCTCTGGGTAAGAGCCAACTGGCAGTTTGAAAGATTGGGTTAATCAGACACAGGGAAATTTCTGATTAATTGGACAATTATTTCGAATTCTGAGAGAGCCAAGGCGATATTGGAGAAATATTTCGACCAACGGGAAATAAATTCAATAGCCTGAGGCAGACAGAGCTTTGTAAGCTTACAGGGGTTGAAATACACTGGCATCCTGTGTCTGGTTTTTATGGTCTCAAGTCTCCCAAATGAATAGGGCCCATAACTATTTTTTAATTCCCAAGGAATTCCAAATTATTTTGGCTTTAAACAGTTATGGAAAGTCTGTTAGACAGTCCCCTGAAATCACATCAGGGCTCTAGGGCGGGGCGAAACCACAATTTGGGGGCCAGGAGAGAGGGACCTTCATGTTTGATGATGGAAAGTGGCCCAGATGAGCTGTCCTGGTCCTTTCTGCGAGTCTGACGGTGACGCGTCTCACCTGGTGGGAGCGTGCTTCTGTTCCTCCTCCTCGTCCGTGTCGCTGCTGATGGTGATGACGCTGACTGTGGGGCTGGGGGTGTCTGGAATGACAATGGTCTGCCGCTGCCTCTCCCTGGTGGTGCTGGAGGCGCCGTCGCCCCAGCCGCATGTGACAGAGGAGCTGCAGGCCGGGCTGCTGTGCACCAGGGCGCAGCGGGGCGGCGTGTTCTCCTTGACCCGCTTGGACCGCTGAGGGGAGCTGAGGGCCTGCGAGGAGGACACCTCACAGGTGGAGACGTTTCTGTAAGGACAAAGCCATACACACTCAGGGAGGAAGGTCAGCCCAGAGCATCTTCCTAGGAGCAAACTGCCTAGAAGTCCCAGTTTTGCCAGATCTCCATAGAAAAGTCAGAGGCCAAGGCACTCGGACTTCACCTGTCACTGCAGAAGCAGCAGCCGCTACACAGAGGGGACAGCAGCCTGCCTCCTCGGGGCTCTGGTTTGGCTCCATGTGCCTGCTCCCAGCAGGACACAGGGAACAGCCAGGGCTGAGGACAGGAGGGATTGTGCCCACGGACTGGGCTGGTCTTGTGGAGTCACATGTAATGCCCAGGATTTAAGGGGTGTCTGCCCCAACACAGCCCTGTCTTCAGGGTCCAGGCCTGACTTCCCGAGCTCCATCCTGTCATCCTCCCAAATGTACTTAGGTCTTATTTGGGAGAGAGGTGGAAGAAATTTGACACATAAAGCTTTGGTTTCCTCACTGATAGCTGGTTTACCATTTAATAAACTAAAGCACTGATTTCTTAGGGTTTCTGGATCGAATGGATCGAATATTGGCGGTTAGCTCTTCCTCCTGCTTTCTCTGGGAAAGGGACATGACCATGAAAGCATCTGTGTGTGGATAATGTTTTTAAATGATTTTTTTTTTGTTGTTAGATAGAGGGTGAGAGAGATCAATGTTCTACATCTTTATGGGTTCATTGGTTGATTCTTATATGTGCCCTGTAACGTAGGTATATTGGGATGATGCTCTAACCAACTGAGCTAGCCAGCCAGGGCCTATAATTCTCATTTCCAAAAAAGATTCTTCTGGATTTAGACACTGAACCTCATAGGAAGCTTACCAGTCTGTTTCAACTGTAATGAAAAAATTCAGAAAAGTGCAAGAGGAAAAGGTGTGCTTAAAAAGGGACCTTTAAATATTGATTTTGATTTACCTGAAATTCCTTATCAAATTAGCCAATGTAGCTCTATCTGGTTTGGCTCAGTGGATAGAGCATTGGCCTGACTGACGGTCTGGGTTTGATTCCAGTCAAGGGCAAATACCGCAGCTGCAGGCTCAATCCCCAGCCCTGGTCAGGCAACCAATTAATATGTCTCTCTCACACTGATGTTTCTCTGTCTCCCTGTTCACTATCTCTAGAAAAAACACATACAAAACAATGGAAAAATATCTTCAGGTGAAGATTAAGAACAAAAAAATGAAGATGGCTGTTCTGGCTAATTCTAGGATTAATCAAGTTACTGCTTACCCTGAACAGCTAAATAACTTAAATTTCTCACCTTAGATTTCCAGGAAAAAAAAAAAAAGCACATTTTAAAGAAAAGTTATGGTTTCCAAAGTGCAAGTTCAGAGGCGGGCCTGAGCGTTTTCCAGAGAAGTGAAGGGGGACGGAATCGCTCAGGGCCCTGCCACTCAACCTGAGCCCGGCCCA